TAGACACCAACTGCCACAGTTGATTAGAGAACACAGTGAGGACTGAGAGCCCTTATGTTGCAGAAAACTAATGAAATAAAAAAGGTCAAATCTGTGGAGGAAGAAGTGGAAGATGTAAATTCCACATTCCTGTCTGGACAAACAGCTGTAAAAGGCCAGGTTTAGACAAACACAAAATTCCACTGCTCTGCTGTGTGTAAATGTATCAGTTAAACACAGACGATTATGGTGTGTTTAACGAGGATAGTGATACAGTTTGATGAAGCAAAAGAATTAATATAAAGTGAAGAGTAGGTTAATACTTGGACATTAAGTGGTGTCAGTTTATGATTATTTAACTCTGTTCCACCTGGTTTGGGACATACTATTTATTGCAACAATTTTTAGTTTTGAAAAAACACAATACTGAATACAGCTTGTGAAAAGGTGGTTAAAACAATGCAGCACAATTGCCGTCGATCAATAAGTAAAAAAATAATCAACTAATAATTGATTATTTCAGTAAAACATAGCATAAATGATAAAAGGAAAAATACTGAAATAATATAAACGAAGAACCAGAAAAGCTGCAAACTGCAATCATGGCAAATAGGCTAAACACACATTGCTAATGCTAAATCTTTAGACAATCCTGTTGTAAAACACAAAACATTTGTTAACATCAAAATGACTACCAAGTTTCCAATTGTAAAAAAAAAAAAAAAAACTGCTAATAAAAGAAAAGCAAATAAACAGGTGCTGGTAACTAACGTGCACACACACCCCAGTCACTGAGAAATAGAAGGCCACTTAAGTTGTTTGGGTTTGAATGATGAAACAAAAAGATCAATGCAAGAAACCACAGACAACAAAAGTTAAAGAGGGAACACGAGAAACAGACTGGGGAAAATGGACTGTGGTTTTAGTAGACACAACACGAAGGAGAAACTGACATCATGGAGATCAGACCAAAGGGAGGAGAAGAACTGATCAAAGGTGAGAAAAATGTTGGGAAGTGGATTCAAATCTGTAAGAAATAGAAGACGAGCCAGGAAACGGAGGGAGACAGAGTGAGGTCAGAATACTAAACGCTAGCAAATAAATCATGACTGGAATGAAGGGCAGGGTAGAAAAAAGGTAAAGAAGCAAAAAAGACAGGGGAGAGAAGTCAATACAGAGCTGTGATGTTTTTCTTAAGTGAAAACAGTAAAACAGAGTTATCAGAGTTATCATTCTGCCCTTTCTGTTCCGGCTCCACCACCAGCAGGGTGTTTGTTGTTGATGTGATGGATTCAAACAGACAGGCCTGTGTGACCACAGATAACCTCTGCAGTGATCTTAGCTGTGCACAGCCCCAGGTTTTTTTCTTTTGTTGTCTGAAAATAGTTGCCACACTTTAAACATTGTTTTTCGATGGTATTATTTTGCTAAAATTACCAAAAGAAAAAGGGTCTGATCCCACTGTGTCCTTTCTTTTTGATCATGGCTCCACTGTAAATAACTAATAGCTTAATTTAAAAAAAGCAAGCAATAATTATTCATTCCCATCTCACCAAAATGTTAGCATGCTTAACATTTAGATCTTAGCTTATTTTGCTAAGTAAGCTAGATTAGTAAGCAGTTGCCATCAAACTAAGAAATGACTAAGGACCTGCAGTCTGTCAGTGAGGAAGTGACAGAACGTCCCCTGAGGATTCTTCTTCTTCTTCTTTTCTGTCCAGGCCTACAGACAGTGAAACAGTACTTAATCAATTAAGGCTCCGAAGCAGCCTGAATGAGTCAGTTACTTAAAAAGGTTCAAACAAGGACACTTCTCTTTTTTATGACTTTTCCTTCTTACTTATTAAGTACTTGATTCTTTAGATGCTTGGGAACATAAACCATTTCCAAATGTGATGTGATGTGATGGTGCACTTAAGGCTGAGGCTAAACATCAGAGAAATGACCTGTTTCCAATTAAGTGAAGACCTGGAGAGGAGCATCAGTGTTCTATGGATATTTAAACGTTTCTCTTATTTTGCTCCATATTTCCCCACTCTAACACCAAGACAGTGTCTTTTGAAGATACAAATTCTGAGGTGCTCCTCAGGTTCTCATTTAAGTGTAGTTACACTTGCAGAACTGATCACATGACAAAAAAACCCTTGAAAATGGACTCTTTACCAACATTGCTGCTTTATAAGCAGAAGTGTTGTGTGACTGTTCAGGGTGTGTTTAGGAAGCCTCAGCTGGAACTCACAAAGAAAACCCTGTTCCACACCAGGCACCACGGTCAGCTGAGTTGGGTGTTTCCCTAAAGTCTGAGTGAGTTACTGGTCGATCTAAACAAATATCAAATAGACTTTCATGAATTTTATTTAATTTATTTTTGTCAAACTGTCACCCCAAATGTAAGGAGTCACACAGGGTGAATTACTATGGTACCATCTTCACACACATTTGTAAAGACCCAGACTGACAGAAAGTCACATTACAGTGCCAGGTTCTTGCTGGGGAACGTCAATGAGTCTGAAGCTCCGACAGCATCATTCACACTGGCTGCAGTTATAGTGAATCTCTGCAGGAACTAAAGCAGCACAGTTTCTTCTGCACTCATTCAGCAGCTGTGGCAGCACTCAGCCACAGGAAACCTACACCAGCCAGAAACACTTCATTCATTCATTGGGCTTTAGGCGCCTTTCATGCAGAATGACAGTTTTTGTGCGATAGTTCAATGAACTGTGGTTTAGCTTGTTTTTGCTAACGTCAAATTAAATTTGTTTGATGCCCAAAAAAAAAAGTTAGGTTTTGTCTGGAAAGAAGAAGTGATTGTGGGAGCAGAGGGTGCAAGGGTTCCAGTGCCCAAGGAAAATCAATAGTGAGCTGCTTTTTGGCCAGACTAAAGCAGCAGATGTCTATGCCTGACTGACTGGCAGAATGACACTGTTTTCAAGCCCAGCACTGCTTGTTAGCATGTCATGTTTCATAAAATGATTTTGACATTTTTGTTTGAACTGATTTTATATTGTCGAGAAGATCATTATCATTTGAACTTTTTCATGAGGTCTCTGGGAATTTTGGAAATTAATATGTGCCATGGCTGAAAAATAATTGGGAAATACTGTATTAACGTACTTAAATCTAAAGCAATAAAACAACAGAAAAGACAAAGGACATGCACAATAATAATTGATAGTGCTGTGTGCCCAACGAACAGAAGGGAGGAAGCATTCACATTCATGGCCACGTGGCTGACAAAGAGTCTCTGTTGCATAATCTGAGCATGTTCTACATATTGATGTGGGTTTTTGTGTCACGTTAATGAGTCGCACTGTACTCACTGCAGTCAAACTGCAGACACAGCATATTAGAATATGTAAAATTTTAGATTGATTTTAGAAAAACAGAAATAAAGAGCAAGAAAAAAGAGAGGGTGAACAAGAGACAGAGAGAGAGCGAGAGAGAGAGAATGTAATGGATAAATGGCAAAAAGGGGAAACCAAAAGAGATGACCTAATACATTAGTGTTATTTTGCTGATAAGCAGCCAAGATTCACATCCAATCAGCAGTGAGGACATTAAATGAAAGAAAGTGTTTATAAGTCAGGTTTATCTCTGTCAAATCATATGCTAATGAACTGACCCCATATGACCTTTGATAAAATAAAAAAGGAAAACAAAATCGATAATGTGTTTATAGAAATAGTTTTGTATAGATCCACAACGCTATATAAGTCATAATATCTCTAGTCCAATTTAACCACTTCTCTCTGTTGTAGAATTGGTACTAAAAATTTAGATGTGCTCAAAAAAATATTTCAGCTTTTTCCACTTAGGAGAAAAGAGCAGCCAACTAACTTGACAGAGGCAGAATAATAATGTCCTCATCATTATCATCAGATTTGCCAATTCCAGGACTGGAAGCTAACAGTGCAGCTGAGTCATCGGTAGGTACTGACTGCAGAACAACAGAACAAAACACAGCATTTCATCAAGGTCTGGACTCTGATTACAATAAAATCAATATGAGAGAAAAAAAAACAACCACACACAGAAGACCAGAAAAAAAATTCAATACTTTTAAATTTGGTTGGATCTCCTCCTGAAATCCTACAGAATGATGTTGTGGAGATCTGAAGCTACAAATCACTCTGTCTGGATTGTTTCCCTGTCATCATTTGTAGCACATGCCCTCTCCCTGTTCCCACAGCCAAGGAGATGTCAGAGAGAAAGAGAGTGAGAGACATCAATTTTCTTTTATCACTGCCCTGCTCATCATTATGTGTTTTGCTGCTGAGAAAATGAGCGTGGTGGGGAACAAAGGCGGCTGACACTGGTACTTCCTGAACAAATTTGATTGGCTGTTCTCATCAGACCACAGCAGCAGCAGCAGCGAACTGGGACATGAACAACTACTCCAGCAGATACTATTCTGTTTTATGGTCAAGTTCAAATGTGTTTTTTAATGTTTCACGTTTTGTTTTGGATCAGAAGATAAAATACCAGCAGATAAGCAGTCGGTGTTGAATAATGAATGAGACATAAATGCATGTCTTTGATGATGGAGACCCTGAAAGAGCAATGAAACCTCTTGGCAGCGGCTGACAAATTACCTCAGACTGAACAGAGATGCTAATATTCATTTGACATAATGTCTTCACAATAATCAGTGCTCGGATTTTTCAACCAATCCACCAAACAAGCAAA